TTCTAAAGAAAATTACACAGAATACATTGTTTTAGCTTAGTTAATGAACTTTTCAAAGTAAGCCTACTGGTTGTCAAACTATTAGGGGTTTACAGTTGGAATTTAGAATCATTCTATATGTTGAGAGTTGTTAATCCTGAAATCTTAAACCTAGTTTTAATCCGGTCCTAGTCCTAACTTAAACAATTAATGAATGCAGTAAAATATCAATTTTTCAAAGATTTTCTTCAACTCGTTCAAAATCATTGTATTTCTCTGTAGCACAAGTTACAGTTTGTATCATTAGGGTAACATCCACTAGTGAACTATTTAATGACGTTTTCTTAAAGTAACATCAACATCTTGGTTTAAAATGTGCGCCATAAAAACGAGGCTTGTTTCTTGATTTTGATTCATTCAAAATTATAATCAGATATAACCGTCCTAATGATCAAACGAATAACCTTAATGATGTCCTATCCCATGATCCGTTTGCAGTTCTCCAGTTCGGTAGAACACAACAACAGACATACAGTAAAGTAAACTTCAGCAAAACATCCACCATGTTCTTTGTATAAATCTTGAGTTTGGGTCAATATGTAGTTTTTTCAGGATGCTGAACATGTATGGTTTAAAAATTAAAAGCAACCATTTTCTCATAATGATGCTAAATGAATACAATTTGAATACCCAACAGAAGTGTTAGCTCCTTGAAAAAAAAGCACCATAACCAGTATGGAACTATGATTTAAAGGTTGCTGAAAAGTGCTATTCAGTCATTTAACAATGTTAAGGATAGAATTCACTATGATCAAATACACATCATTCAGCAGGACTAACTAAAATGTACGCTATTAATGGTAGAACATTTTAGTGATTGTTTTTCCCTCACAACCAAATGAATGAACAGAAAGCCCTTCTTATCCAACAATGTAGATACATAGTTAATCAGTAGTGGTAGTTTAGTAAATACTTAACTCAATATACTCCTTGAAATAAAAGTGAATAACATGGTCAAACTCATCCAAACGAACTGTACAATTTCAGTTTGGTGTATTTTCCTGTCATATAAACAGTATTTGCTACTAGTCTAATTATTTAAAGTATACTTTAAAACAAACAAATCACCGTTAATCAACAATAGTTGTGATAATAAGTGCAATATTAATAATAATAATAATAATAATAATAATAATAATAATAATAATAATAATCGACTTCTAATAATGACAATACTAATGAAACCGATAGTCATTGACTGTAAAGCTAACTGAAGAATCATAAAATGACAAGTTGATATGCTCTGATCACCAACATTTTGTAGGCATTCACTTTAAAAATCAATACAAACAAATAATAATGCAAATATTGTTTTTTTATTCTAGAAATTTAAATAATGACATCAAAAAAATGCTTCTTATCCTAATTTTCACAAATTACAACTTGTCATTTGTAGTGAGTGACCATAGTTTCCGGAGTTAGAAGAAACAAATGAAAATTATTGAATATTGACATTGATAACCCACATCCATTGTCAATAATCAAGACAGATGTGTATGTCTCTGTCTATATATGTGCATATATGATGATGAAGAAGTTGGTAGGGGATTTTTAACTAGACAAGTAAAACTATTCTCATTTGTATTGAGTGTATATAAATAAAAAAAGGGAACATACTGGTTGCAACCAGTAAATTATGGAGACATGTCAATGATAGACAAGAAGTATACAAGAAGATAATACGTCAACTAATAATTTATTTAAAAATACCAACTGATCACTATATCTATCATAAGTATAACAAACGAAGATAAGCACAAACCAATTAGAAATGGGATAATAAGAATTTTAAAAGTTGACAGTTAACGTTAAGTTTTGTTTATTGGAAAAAATAATCATGAATCTATTTTACCAACCCTGTTAAACTGTTAAGTAATATTATGCATAGCTAACAGGTGAATCCTGAATTCGATTGTTAGTAAAATACCAAATATACTAAAACATTTCACGTGATTCTATATTGAGGGAATCCGTTCAGGATAATAATAATAATAATAATAATAATAATAATAATATTTAAAAAATGGCCAATCGTAGCGCCGGATATTATTAACGGTAAATTACCTAGTTATAAGCACTACAGAACAGATTAATAGGTATCCATGTAAATTCGATACCTCAACAAATAGAGCTCTGAGTGTATTAAAGTGAAAGGTACTGGGTTCGAGTCCCGGTATGGACATCAACAGTGGGATGCAGGTACACCCAGTTGATGAGTTTTAAATGAGATAGAGAATGACCCCTAAAAATCCAAATATACTAAATAAGTGTGTTATGCTTAAAAAAAGTACTATAAAACAAGCAACCAGAGTCTCTACATCCACATTCCTACATTTCGATATAGGCAAAATAACCAATAAACGCAGAAGGATAACACTCATAGGACGAATGACTGAGAATTTCAATGATGTATAATAATACATAGAGAAGTTACTAACTATTTCAAGTTCTATTCAGAAAAACTATCATCGATTATGTGATAATGACATTGGAGTTGCAATTACCTGTAGTTAGTAAAGTAAGCACAAACTTGATAAATTCGGTTTATTATATATAACTTCAGTATGGATGTAAAGCAATGACACTACTCATGAACATTCAGTAAAAGTCAAGTTGAATGAGTAAATCACATATTAAGTAAAAAGAAATCGATTCTCGAAAATAATACAAACATTGTTGATATCATGAAACCGACCTAAAATTGAGATATCGACTAAAGGACCAGGAAGCAGTGTGAACAATTGTTTCACTGTAGTAGGGAACTCTTCAAAAATGCAAATATCTCACAGTATCATGAAAGAGCTCTGTCCAACGCTTCTTCATTTTTAACAATAAATGCTTAGCTGAAGTCGATTTGTGATATTAAATAAAATATTCAATGATCAATCATAAACTGACTGTACTGACAAAGAAAATGTTATTCCGTCGGAACAAGTAAACTTATGAATATTTTAACTTTTAACAAATGAGAATGAATGAATGTACAGTGTGTGAAAACAATAACTAGAAAAAATCGCGCATCTAGCATGTATTCACATTAGTGAAATCCCGATATGCGGCAAATAGGTGAACAAGTGAAATTTACCACTAACTAATATTAATTAGTATTTTAATTATTTAGATTACGCAAATTAAAAAAAAATAATAATACCTGGGAGAGTGAACTGAATTCTGGGGTAATAATAATAATAAAACATACGGTTAACTTGGACATCAATAGTACACTCGTAAAATTTGATAGCTAGTTATAATTTATTACGTAGGACAAACAAATATACACAAATAAGATGAAAAATATTTTTTTCATTTAATAAAAAATTAGTTTCTCGGGTATATTTCCAACACTTTACTCTTTCTCTCTCTCACACACACAGTCACACACATGTACAGAGATTCGCACACCTGTACATACATGTGTATATATATATATATATATACTGAGGTACCACCTCTTTCCATAGAGGATTTCATCATCACTAACAACTTGTATCGACAACTTAATCATTTGATTATATATTGCAGACGCCATAATTGTATGTGTGAGATTCAGTGAACAAGTAACCGGTCTACATATATATATATATATATATATATATATATATATATATATATGTTCGGACAGTATACTAATTAATTAATTAATGAACTAATTACCTAATGGAGGAATGATTAACGAATGAATAAACAATATTGAAACCAGAATATGTCATTTGACAAATAATAAATAGGTTACCATTAGTATCCTGTCTTATATATATATATATATATATATATATATATATATATTTGTGTAACATTTGTGCGTGTATAACTAAAAAACGGTTCAAAATAGTTCTCACGATTTCCAATTGACAATCGAATGATGCTTGGCATTAATTTAGTCTTGGTTACAACCGATTAATCATTAATAAACATGCATAGACGCATACAAAAAGTATTTTATGAGAGAATTTATGGTGTTTATACAGGAATAAATAAAATGGGACACGTAACTGATTATTTCAAAGGTATTAGCTACGAGCTACTAACTACTAGTCGGTTGAATATAAGTAGTAGTGTTTCCAATGACCAACAAAAAAAGAACAATATTTATTTATGATAGTGGATGAATACTGCATTCAGAATTATTCCATTGAAAAATAATTCCCTACAGACAAAATATATTTTTATCAGAAAACACTAAGTATCGTGTATTTGTAATATCGAAGTATCAAGGTAAGCTAATGGAATAAGTAGATAATATCACACAAAAATCGCCTCCCCCAGTAACACATATTCAGTTACATACACTTAGGTATGCACAATGTCAATTACCAGAATAAGATAGGTTGGTATTTATTCAATTATGTAACGTTGAAATATCTGGCTATAGATACAATGCATGTATCAAGTACTGCAGGAGAGAAGATCGACTGTATATGTTACCCTAATGAAGCATAAGGGTCGCCAACCTGCATTCTCTAACCTACTCTATCCTCCTGAAGCCCTTCAGGGGGTTACTGCTGGGTCTCAAGTCCCGATAAAGGAGGATGGTTGGGCATACGCTTAGCGACCTCATCCCGTTGAAAACCAACTTTCTGAAAAAACGCTAACCAGAACAAATAATTCGAACCAAAGCACTACCGTATCCTTAAAACTATTAGAAATATTGAAGAATTAACAACCTAATAAATATTAAACTAGACCAGTGTACTTCTTTTTTATTAATAATATAATGAATTCAGTACAATGACCTTGATAGTTAGCTAGTTAGCAGAGAATAATCAATGACCTTAAATGTTTGTTTATAATAAAAAGAAATAAACATATCATAATGATAATAATATTTGTCTAAACAACAATTATATCACAAAATCATTAAATGCACACAAATTTAAAGAGAGAGAGCGAAAAAAAAGATCAGAAAGTCAATTAAATAAACAAATAACAATAATTTGAATAATTTGATTAAAATGACTTACATGATTCAAAAGTAATCTCAGAAATAACAATCCAATCATAATCAAACCATAAGGTAATTCGTAAATAACGACCACTGCGAAAGCCTAGATCAATAGGAATCCAACGTGGTTTGGAATTGTAAATATCACGATGTATATCTACTACAACTGGTGCATAATTTCGATCAAAATAACGACCACCATTACTGAATTGAATAGAGATTCGACGAAACAATGCAATATAATCCAATGAATTCAATGTATGAATACGTAATTGAGTAAAATTGCGAACTGTAGAAGAAGTGTATACATGAAAAGTAAATAATAATATCATATAAGATTACTTATTATTATAAAATTATTCAATTTTTTTTCTTAATGATACAAAATGTTCATGTAAAAAATTTATATTCATAGAAAAAAAAAAGAAAGTTAACAGCAGATTCATTGAAAATCTGAATTGGATTACACATCACAGATAATTACTGCTATCATCAGTATGATGTGAATGTTAGGCTTAGGATACATATACTACCGAGGAATCCTTTAAAGTAAGACGAAACAGCTATTCAATGGTTATTAATTTTCAATAATATACTAACTAATATTAACCTGTAATGTTAACTATATATTCAATTTCCCATAGTGGGGTTTTAGATGAGCACTGTCGTAGAGTGAAATAGTTTTTCAAGTAATTCCTGGGTTTAAATATTGACTATTACATGATTTTTAACTATGAACATTCTAAAATCTTGACAAAATCCTTTACGAATTGATTGTTGAAATGATAAGGATTGTACGACAGAAATGAAGAGATAAATAAATATCATTAAAACTACACTGAAATAGCACACACAGAAACATGTATTATTAGCCTTATTAACATAGTAGGTGAAATCTCATCGAAAAACACTACTTAAAAAATACATTTATTTTATTGAAAACCAAGAACCACTGAAAAAATATCTCATCTTAACGTACAAAACTATGGAAGATTGAGTTTAAGAATTTCAAATTTTGCAGAATACAACACAATTCTAGCCGATTATTGTTAACGAAGAAAGCACAGATCTGAAATCGCAAAATCATATTATTACATCTTTACTAAGGAACTTAATACACGTTAATTTCACTATGAAATACACTATACAGCTTCTAAAAAAAGACCAATTTAGATATCTGACACAATTATTAATATTCAATAAAGAAAACAAATGAAACCACTGTACCATAGATGATGTAAACAAAAGAATACTAATGTATTTGACTACATGAAGACACTTCAAATGGGACTAAATAGAATGGCCTAACCAGTTAATCTTTGAGCACCATAAAGGAAATATACAGAATACTCTGCCATGCTATATAAACAATGAAAGCTAAGTAAAAGACATCGAAAAAAAACTTGGGAACTATACTTTTAAAAGTTTAGCTGGTAATTTTACACGTCTTTGTTTAGTCAGTCATAAATGAAATCACACAAAGTTAGATCCTAAAACTTTAATCATGACTGATCTTTATTGCTCTTGTCCTTATGTTAAGAACCATTCTCATATCTCTGATCAACATCACAATCCTTTTTCACTTCACCTTTAGGTTGTGTGACTAACGTATTAACACACTGGACAAGCTTCATCAGTTCTACGGACGTTTCAGAGTGATAATCTGTTTTATTAATGGTCATAAAGTTAACCGAATAAGATGAAATTCCCCTAGATAGATTACATGATATTTTAAAAACTATCTTTACCTAAAGAGAAATGAAAATTACATGATTCACTATTTCGTTGGAACTGAGGTATATGCATTCACACGAGTAAAATTTAACATCGTCCTCTTTGAAGTAATTTAAAGTTGACGAAAATTGGCAGATTGTTTGTAGTGAAGAGGAAACTACACAATTATTGGTCACAATAAATGAAATAAATTGTAATCATGAATCAATCATTGTTAGACCACCAGTAGAAACCTGGAAGCACTGGATAGCTGTTTTGCCCTCGTATGGGACTCATTAGTGGTGCACATCAACGACTCCTACTACTCTTAGGAATCGAACCCAGGACTTCCGGTCTTGAGTGCAAACGCCTAACCTCTGGACCACTGTACCGGCATCCAACGGTGTTCATATCTAACTATGTCTTCGGTAGTCACTGCCTACACCCGAAAGGGTTGAACTCCACTGGTCACGTCTTCTCACTAGAACTCTGGGAATTTCCTCACGAAGCTGGTCACGAGTGAGTACATTGTATGACTTCCCAATTAGAGTTATAGAGATCATTGTTTTTTACACAATGAAATCATGAGTTAATCATTGTTTGAATCCTATGAGTCACAGGAGTCGGGGATGAACGCTGCTGAAGTGTCCCGTAGCAGGAAGAAACGGCCTTCCAGTGCTTCCAGGATTCTAATGGTAGTCTAACAGTGATTGACTTATGATTTCAATGTGTAAAAAAACAATGATCGCCATAACTCCAATTGGGAAATAAATTATGAAACATCTGTATACTGATGAGTCATAAGTCCGTTAACAACTAAATGAGCATTACTCAATCAACCAACCATAAATCTTTTGAACCGGAAAAGAATTATACCAAAACAGATTGAATAACTTAATTTGAATGAAGTCTGATTATGCTCACCTATTTCCTAATTCCTTTGTCAATCATCTTAATTTTAACCTTGAATGATAATTATTCAAAGATGAATGTTCAGGTCAAGGTGATTCGATTGTCTGAGTTTGATTAAGATAAATTAGACCTGTCTGTCTTTACTCATGAAAATTTATTATCATTATTATTAGTAGTAGTACCCTGATGATCATGTGATCATATGTAGTAGTGGGAAGTGAATTAAATATACATATCTCTTAATGAAAGCTAACGAAACGCAGGTTTCAGATAGTTTTAGAAGTATTTCATAAATAATCATAGTTACATAATGCGTAAAACCCATGAGAACATGTAATGATAAAGGAATTGATGAGAAATTCATATTTTAACTTCGTATACACTGTAAGATTAGATGATAGCGGTAATCGATATATGATAAAGCCACTTCATGTACCCGGCATTTTTGTGGTCCACATTATATGTATATGATATTAGTTCTAATCAGAAGCACTAGTTAACTCCATATCTAATGTGAACACGAATAAAATGGAACAGTTCTTTTTGTAAAGTAAAAAATCTATCAGAGAACAAAGACTATTGACAGAATGTAGGAATCTGTACTCTGTGTAATTATGTTTCAAAGGATTACACATTGATGACACTAATGAAATTGTAATGAGAAACATTGTGATTAAAACAAAGAATCCTTACGAAGTTACCAACAAACACCTGAATATAAGACAATACAATATTTTGACTAAACCAACCAAGCGTATTTGCAATTTAGAAAGTATGCTTATGATCCTACAACAATGAATTTTAGTGATAAATGAGTTGTTTGGAGTTAGATATTTTAACTAAGCTACTTGGGATTCGAAAGTTAACACTACTAATAAAAGATTTAGAAATAAAGAGTTAAATTGTTTACAACTAGTCAAAAACAGACTTATGTAATTAGCACTAAACCATACTTTAAATGTGAAGGTTTGTGAAACTAACCAGCTGCCTAGATCGAACAAGATAGATTTTAGTTGGGTTTTACAACTTAATGACTGGGAACCAAACACTGTGACTATTGATCCACTGCTGCTGCTATATTGAAAAGTCTGACAAACAATCGAACCAGCTATTAAGCACCTTGCTAAAAAAGAAATGTTATTCACCCGGCATCTTCCACCTTATATAAGCGCAAGGATAATCACATTCAATGTTAGATTATTGAACAACTATATTCGTGTTGAAAGAACATTAGAAAAATGTCTATATAGAATAGATAAAATATGGCCAACAGTGGAATCCAGGATGCACATTTTATCCTATTCAGGGACTCGTTAGCTGGATGCACTTGCATGTCAGAGTTGATGTTCCTGCTTTATCTAGGCTTTGGACCGGCAGTAGCCCCAGATGAGCTCCAGGTGGAGTTAGATTTGATGTTCCACCTCGTGACATTGTAGTACAATCAGAAATATAAATATGTATTAGGCTACACTAAAAGAAAATCTATTTCCCACTCTCAACAAATTACTAATTATGAAAGCAGGCTGACAGTTGAAAATATTGTAACAAACATAAATAAAATATTTCGTAAATGTACATACAGTATTTTTATTTGGAAGCTTAAAGCAATGCAAACATAAAAAATCCACCCAATAAAGACAACCATAATCTAATTTCGAGAAAATCTCAGAATCAAGTAATTATATATACATACAGACAGACAGACACGGGTACATGACACATCTATTCGAGTTTATTAAAAAAAAAAGGTTATAAATTACAGTCGAATCTATAATTACTAAAACAGTTACAGTACATGATACAGAGAGACTGAGAGAGAAACGAATATTCTTCATGATAGCAATAGGCACAACATAAGATGCATGAATAGTTGTTAGTACATAGATGAGAAGGGGAAAAAATAAAAGCTCTAATCACTTGATATATATTTACATTTACACATATAGATTAATGTCACAAGAACTAATTGTGAAATGTTAAATGTTATTTTGCAATTAAACTGAAAGGATATAAATCAAGGCACAGCGAATAAACACATTGGTTCATTGATTGATCATCTTATGGTGGATTAAATCAATGAAATTTTGAAATAACACCTTAACAAGGACCGAAGTAGAAAACAGACTAGATTATTAGCAATAATGAAATAGATTTTAAAGACTTTGTTGAATATTTATTTACTATATATGTGATGTAGAAAACTACTACTACTCATGGATAATAGTAGTAATGTTTTGGTTGTTTCACTTTTAGTAGTTACAGTTATCTGTAATGTGTACTTTTTTTTCTGCACTCCTTACGTTTAATTTGTTACTTCGTGGTTGTGGCTGAATTAAATCCTCCTCCACATAACCTTATATTCAGCTTCCTGATATTACTGTGTCAATGGTAATCAAGTTAGATTGTATTCAGGAAAATTTCTAACAAACTGATGAAAATGTTAAATATTAAATTTACGAACTTTACAGGTGGAATTTCAAAAGACTTCTGATATTCAGTAACACATGCAGTAACCGAAAAGCAAAGTATTTTACTATACCACGAATATGAGGAAAAAAGATTATTTGACGATAAAATGGAGGATTACTGTATCTCAAATAATGATAAATAACATTGGAGTAAAAAGTTATCAAATTAACCCTTGAGTGAATTCGTTAAACAATAAATATACAGTAAGTTCATGCTGTGATAGAGAACTCAATATCTTTTATATATTTCTGTTTAAAAACGATTATATTTACTATTGGTTAAATTGATTTGTAAGGAATTTGTATCGTCACACTGTTGCTGTTAAAGTCTACAATTGATCAGCCTCTATTTCTAGAATGTTATTTAATCATTAGTGAATAGCAGTAGAATTCAAATACAAACCTTTTACAAATACAATGAATATACATTAACGCAACCTAGTAGATATTTCGATTCAGTAGCTGAACAGATAATATTACATTAGCGTTTAAAGCAAAAAGATACTGATCGAATTGTTAATCTCAATGTGAATACAAGCACTTGTCAAGTCATTCTTCTAGCTCACCTACACAATTCAATTTCGAAAAAACATCTTACACCTCACGTCACGATCTGATTTCGATTTGACATTCAATGAAAACCAAGAAAGGATTGAATAGTTGTTCCACTATGATATAGGAATGTCATAGGTTTGACCCCCCACGCACCATGAGGAATTACAAATGCGTGCATTGAGAAACAGTTCTATGTAACGCATCCGAAACCTTATATTAACAACTTTTAGTTTCGGTTGTCAGTTTGTCTGATTGTTCTTGAGTGCATTTTTTGTTAGATGTAAATGCATTCTATCTGCTTACCTTCTGCTGTTCTTTTCTGTTCCAAATAATCTACCATACAGCTTTTTACACTCTCTCAACAAAAAAGGTACCTAAAGGCTTGACACAAATTTACCAAAGACTAGACAATACACTATACTAAAAGGAAACAGCTGTTCAGTGCTTTGTGATTTCCAAAAGTTTCATCGAAGATTACCACATCGACGATATATGTCATGTAGTGTACAGTAAACGATCATGTCTTTATATCTTATCAGTTTGTTGGAATATCATGATAATTAAATGGGATTTATTTCGATTAGCTCCGAAAATAGGTTAAGCACTATATATATATATATATATATATATATATATATCATAAGCATCATAAGCATTTAATCACCAGATGCATGTTTAAGATAAGTAAGAACAGAATTATGTAACAATTGAAAGTATTTGTGTTTTACATTTAACAGAGCTATTTAAGAGTACATGTATTGTGCAAGAATATAAAATACATTATTTGACATTTATATAAATTTATTATAGATAGTTTTTTCTTTCATTCAGTCTAACCTTAACTGTTTCAGTACAAATTATTGAACACATTTTCATAGATAGAGGAACTCTGCAGCTTCAAAACAATTCTGATTATGTGAAAGCATTATTATTGGGAAATTCATTGAAAAGCCAAACAAAAAATAGTTTGAAAAATGATTCGTACTAGTTTTGAACTTATCAATGGTCGACTAAATCCACAACCGAACACGTAGAGTCGACCAGTAATAATATCAGACAAAAAATAATAATTGGTTTTCAACTCTTGGAGTATCATCATCAATCTAACTTGTTGAAAAACTACTACTACTAGTAGTAGTACTATAAAACTATGAAATTATCTTCTACATAAAGAAAAAAATATTAACTAACCTTGATCAAATTTAAACAACATTGTAATACGACCAGATGGATTAGTAGTAGGTTTTCGTCGAAACCAACCAACAACCACAGGACTACTACTACTACTGTCTATTTGTTCAGGTAGACTGCCTTCAAAATATTGTTTATCCATGAGTAGACCAAGGCCACCAGTCAGATAAGCGGTACGTTGTTGCTGTTGTTGTTGTTGTTTATCCACATGATCTAATTCCTTAGTGCTGCTGGTGACCGTCAAAGATGATTCAGGAGATATTAATACACCATCATAATTTGTATCATTCAAAGCAAAATCCCCACGTGGATCCAGACGATAGATATCACCTTCAGGAATTGAATATTCTATAACTCCATCTATTTAATTTGATAATAAAAATTATTATTATTATTACCACAACTTTATAGTAAATAAAATGTGATAGACAGATAATGAAACAATTTGATTTCTAGAAGAAATCACAATCATCTCTAAAACAACTTGATTAGTAGTGAACATTGTAATTGAATGAATGACATTGTTAATTTTTTATTCTTTATTAAAATTAAGATTCCATAATATGAAGTTGGCATTTTACAACTAGATGATGAAATGAAAATTTTGGTAGATCTAATTTTTATTAAAAGGAAAAATGAAAAAAAATCAACTTAAATAAAAAAAATAAATTGATGGGATGAAAGAAGAACAGACCAATCAATACAAACAATAATGCAGCATTACACATTTCAGTTTGTATTGAAATGTATATCAATCTAAACATAATAATAATAATAACAATAATAATAATAATAGGGTGTGCATTGGGATTTATGATATAGAATAGATTATTAAATCAAATTACATATTTCATTTAACCACACAGATCAATATGAATGAATATAGATAGGTTAACATGAAATAATAATTTATTATTACATGACGATTTTATCCTATGAAATTTAATGATTATTCTATTCGAAGTTAGTGAACAATATTTTTTCTGGGGGAGTGATAAAAATTAATTTCCAGGCAAGAGATTTAGATAATGATTGTCAACAAACTTTTCAACAGATTTATGAACTGGAAATTCTCAACTAGATAGAATAAATACTGAACACCCAGTAATAATGATGAAATGTCATGTTTTTTCCACAATAGAACAGAAATAGAGGAGAATGAAGGTAAAGTTTTCAATAGTCAATGTAAAAAAATACTATTCAAGAGATATACATAACAAATGGATATTCGTTTACCAATGGTTATCATTTCAGACTACTAGAGGAACTGCTCTTCTGATTCAAGCTACGGCTGATGTATTTATTCGCTGCAGAACTAAATTTAAAACATATCATAAGTAAATAGATGGTGAGCAAGAAACTTATTCTACAATCTTTGATTTCTAACATCTATACAATTAGTAATAGCCTAGTTAATATAAACCAATTCTAACGTGAAGAACACCAACCAACCAGTATGAGAGAGATGACAGAAAACTTTGGTTAAGGCGGAAGTTATCCGTGTGTATAAGTCATGAAGAAAAATATTCTTTATTGATGAGATGTTTCTCTACAATTCATCAAATACGACTGTCGAAAAATAATTAACCAAAAAGATTAATTTGTTACTCACTCAATTGTTCAAGTGTAACTGAATTTATATATATTCAAGAATCAAGAAGACTAGATTTGTTCAAGTTAAGGATTTGAAGAACAATAATTAAGACTATTTACTCATTTCATACTTGTATAAGCATGTAGGTATGAAGATTTGAAAAAGTGAAATGAAACTAGCATGTATGCTGAACATTGGAAGTGTACTCAGAAAATCAAAGATACAAAGTTAGGTGAACAACCTACAATTTATACATCACGATGCTTTCAATCATCGAGATAAGATGTACAAATGTGTAGTTTGAAATCTAGTTGACTAATAACAATAAATGGTGCCGCCTTGTAAACAAATATCATACGATAAGTGTTGAGACTAGTCTACACTTTGTCAACTGACTGAAGTTAGAAATCCACACCAATAAATACCAATGAAAATGGTTGAAATTTGAGCTCTCATTGTGTAACTTGAACATGTCCTAATGAAAGCCTTGAATGAATACTGCCAGGAAGTATTGTATTAGAACAAAATAACTGTTCAATGCTTCGTGGTTTTCACTGATTGTCTAATTAAAAACAAACAATCTGTATAACAATTATACTGACAATGTGAATTATTAAGGCTTTCCAAAAACATTAATTTCACAAATAATCCCATACCCATCCATCGTATGATATACACTCACTCACACACAAACACACACCATCAATTTTTTAATGATAAGTACATAATGATGGTAATTGAAATTTCTAATTTATTTCATCCTGTAATTGACTGACAACTAAAACACAACGATCTCTTGATTATTTTGTGAGAGAGAAAAAAAAACACAACGGAATTAAGGCAAATGAACAATGGAGCATTTCGTCTGTTTCAAGTTTAAAGACAAAAACTAAACAACAGACACATATATGTACATATATATGGACAATAGATCGTGTAGTGTGTATTGTGATTTTTATAACTGCGAAGAACAAAATAATAATAATAAGTAGTCAAGAATAAAATAAATTTGAAAATATTACTATCCACACATAATTGAATGAATTATTTATTAATTAATCAACTAACTAATTAAATTTACACTCAGTAAAATATATTTATATACATACAAATTAAATTGTTCATCAGAATATATAAATATAAATAATTTGTCAGACATGTCATATTAAAATGATGATGGTTGTGTATTATATTAAGATAGAGAGAAATGATTATTTGATTAGAAGTTGAATTGTCAATGAATATAATAAACAAAACAAAACAAAATCAAAAAAAAATTGAACACAATAAATGGAACAATGTTCAATTCGAATATATAGAAACACTTTAATATGATTACCATACCGCGTACAGCTTTATCATTCCTATAGAATACAATAACTGATCATTTCAATTCAGATTTTATATTAGTGTACTATCAGAAATATGCATCGGATACGATGATAATCAAACAAAAGACAATAAATCGATCATTGTTAGACCACCATTAGAAACATGGAAGCACTGGATGACTGTTTCTTCCTAGTATGAGACTCAACAGCAGTACTCACTAGTGACTAGCTTCGTGAGGAAATACTTGAAGTTCGGGCGAAAAGCTGTAATCAGTAGAAGTCAAACCTGCGGGCGTAGGCAATTACCTACCGAAGACAATGGATTCATTGGATTGATTCATGTTAGACATTAACACCGTTGAGTACCGGCTGACTGGTCTAGAAGCTAAGCGTTCGTGCGCGAGACCACAGGTCCTGGGTTTGATTCCTGCGATGGATGCGAACTGCTGATGAGTTCCATACTAGAAAGAAACGGTTGTCCAGTGCTTCCAGGTTTCAAATGTTGGTCTAACATCTATCGATTCATGATTTCAATGACAAACATCGAGCTACATAACTCTATAATGAAAACTAGACAATAATTTTGCGCTGTGTTAATGTAGTAACAATGACAATGTTATTATATTCTGTAAATAATAATTATGAAAATATTAAAAATCATAAATATCAAGTAGTATGATTAAAAGAAGTGAAAAGTTGATCGAGTGTTCTCTGACCTAACTATTTCATCATCACTTTTTTTAAATCACGAACCGAACTAAACTAGACAATTTCTGATTTCAGTCACTTATAGTTATGCTGACTAACAATTCTAATTAGGTAATAATATTATTATTATGTATGTATATATACATCAAAGAGTTGGTATATGGATGAAGTGTACAATAATAGAATTTATTTACAATCTAATATGATGAAACTCAGATGGACGATTTTTGGTGTTTAGTTTTCTTAATTAGATGGTTCAATTGTATAGCTGGATAACACTATAGGCGACTAATTTAATAAGAAATGAGTTTCTTCATTGTTCCAATGTGATAAACCCTGCAATGTACAATGTGGAACAACCTCATCACCCATCTGTACACGAGCATAAACTATTAGGTAAACACAGACATGAATTGAATCAATAAAACACTGAAATTCTAGATCAAAAGAGGTTGGAGGAATGTCAGGGAATTTGTAGAGATATGGCAGTAAAACCAGTCGAGAATCAAAACATACGTAGAGGTGAACTCGATCTATCGACACATACAAAAAACGTCAATCAATCGCATGGTCAAAGGTCAAGTGAATAACATAGTCGACCTCAACAAAAAGCAACCAAAGCAAATAGAAGAGAGTGATTTAACGCTTTTAGAACAATTAAGAATCTCATCTCTACATGAAGTAAATGCTGATAATTTTGTCTAGAAAGACAATGACAGCTCCCCAAATAAAACCATCTAGTTCAACGAATTTGACAACACTAAAGTTTTATGTGTTCAGCTGAAATTACTATGTAACACTGATACTATTTGGCCTCCTAAGAATGTCAATATTCATTGTCAGTTAAAAACAATCAACTTGCATATCGGCAACATCTACTTCAGTCTGATCAAATAGGTGGTGGTAGTATTACACATTGTACAACTCTCAAACCTGACAAGTAAATGAATTCACAACACATTGATTTCAACGCATGTCCCAAACGCATTTATCAATTCGATCATCTCAACCATTCGAATATTTGTATCAATCAATCAATCAATAGGAAAAATGTTCATGTAAAAATTGTAAATATAACAATTTTTTCATAAATTAATTAGAAATAATTTCTATTATACAAAAAAACGATAATAATAATAATAAAATTCAAATCACTAACCATTGAATACAGATCCATAAATAGCCAATCGAAGGCACATTAATTTTGGATCAGATTCCATAGTATAAGGCAATATTCGTAATCGTTTTGCTATAATTGGTGGATCTAATTGAATGACTATTGTTTGACTATTACGATTTGCGTGAAGTAACTAAAATTGTTGTTGTTGTTATGATTTTTTTTCGACAGGACAACATAGAAAAGAAAAAGAAAAACAAAAAAAAACCATAAACATGAATCAAGTAAGCAAGCAAGCATGCAACGTAAATAACCTGTTTGTTAGTTGATTGTTTAATAACTTGTTTAAAAGACAAAACAAAACAAAATCAAATAAATATAATCTAAGCTGAATGAATGAATGAATAAATAAATAAATAATCGATAAATGAGAGAGAGAGAGAGAAAAAAAAAAGAACACAAATATCAACAACTTCACAAAGTTGCATGTTTCCACCAAAAACTCTTACACCATCAAAAAGTAGACGAGAGAGAGAGAGACTAAGAGAGACGAAACGAAACAATGATTGAACAGATATATATATATATATATATATATATATATATATATATATATATACCGAGATTTACACTGTGAACACGAAGAGACAAAAGCCATTTAGATTGAAAAAAAAGTAAGGTAAAGTAAAGAGAAGAAAAATCAATTTTTATGAAAAGAAAAACAAAATGATTTTATTCTACTTTTTAAATATTGTGTTGTTCATCTTCCCCAAGTCTCTTCTTTCATTTAGGCTAAAATTTATGATTTATGAGTTGAATTGTTGTTCATATGTTGTTTGAAAGATAGAAGACAAACAATTTTCTTATTCATTGTGTGATTACGGTTCATTAGAAATGGTCAACCAAGTCAACGGAAAGAAAAGGAGAGGGAGGGGGATGTTGTTCAACATCATGAAATCATAAATCAATCGTTCCTGTCAAAACTGTATTCAATTTATACATATATACACATATATATATATAAAAATGTATACACCATTGTAACTCGATAATGTATACACTAATAAGTTTGTGTACGTGTTGTGTGTGTGTATATATATATATAGATAGATCTAAAAATACATATTATACATGAAGATTAAAATAAGATAAATAAAGTTTGTGATTGAAAAAGAAAATGGGGCAAATTATTTAAAGACAGATTCAATCAAGGTGTTGTACATGTATGCGCGCATAGCACATACTAACTACTCTCTCTCGCTCGCTCGCTCTACACTTTGGCAATCACGTTTTTAAGTGTGCATATGTGCATATGTACATGTGTACATGTATATTATTCAGCGTACAATGAGAATGCTGAAAATTGATATTCATTCAAATCATTCTGTACTGATGCACATAATGAATGTAAATTGATAGTGTCAAATTATAAGTAAACACAAAATTACGCATGTACTGAATTAGATTTTTTTTTCTCTTTGCTATTATCATTATGATTATTATTACTACCCCCATTTGGGAATAAAAAACTAATATGTGTATCATAGCATTACTGTATGAGAGAAATGATAATATTCACTGTAATACGAAAAACTAGGCACATTTAGTTTACATCATTGATTGATTGAACTTTTAGCAACCATTGAAACAGTGAATAATTGTTTTTATCTCTTTTAAAGTGACTTTTTCAGCGGCCGAATAAGAAAAAAAAATTACCAAGATATCAAAAGTTAGACTTCAAAAAAATACAGTCAGTTCATTGTGAAGATTATCACTCTGCTTTGCAGAATCCAATCGATAAATCAAAATACTAACCAAAAAAATACCAGATATATCAAGTCAAGAAATAGTTTATAATGATCAAGCTGTTCATAGTCTCTCTTTCCTTCTTATTCAATAGAAGATTATAAACTGATTTGATTTTTGTAAAATCTTAAAGCAACTAACTCTTCTGAAATCTCATTTTTCATCTTAGTAAAATATAAAGAGATTTGAAGCTAATTTGAAGAATAATTTCAATCAGATGATATAATTTATCAAGAGAGAGAAAAGAAAGTAGTATTTGATAATGATAGAATTTGCATTACGTGAATTGATCAAGTTAGACATTAACACCGTTAGATGCCGACCGGCTTAGTGGTCCGATGGTTAGGCGATCGCTTACAACACCGAAGGTCCTGGGTTCGAATCATGCAGGGTGCAGGATTCGTGGATGCGCACTGCTGAGGAGTCCCATACCAGGACGAAACGGCCGTACAGTGCTTCCAGGTTTCTAATGCTGGTCTAACATTGATCGATTCATGGTTTCAAAAAAAATATGATATAATTTACTGTTTATTTATCATAATTTATTGTAACTTATTTCAGTCAAATCATATACTGAATACAACAACAATTTCAAATTGATCACCAATTTAAATGATCCACTCTATCATTCACATACATGCATACATACAGGCAAACTATGTTTATGATCATTAATTAAAAAATAAAATAAAACAAAACATATTCTGAATTGAACATTTAATTATCATAACAAGCAGAGAAGAAATTTAATTTTTTTGTTTTGTCACGTTGAATTCAACTCGTTCACATAAGTTCATCATCATCATAGTTTTTTTTTGCTTTTACTCTATGTATGTATATATATAGAGATGTAAGATAAGAAGAATACCTAATAAAAGGTGTTGACAAAAATAGTTAGAGTAGAATAACAAAAGAGAAAAAGTAGTTCATCATTACTTATCTTGATAGTTTGAGTAATCAATAAATGTGATGCATCTATCTTTATAAATGACTATTGTAATTGTACATGTACATGTACAAAAAAAATTAGTAAATTATAAGGTCAATGAGTTTATTGATTAGTAAGTAAGTAGTTGTGATATTACCACTACTCACGTCTAAATTAATTTGACATATAAACAGATGCATAAAACTCTACTGAATACAAGTCAGTCTAAAATATACTACTCACATATCTAAAGAACTTGAAATGATGAAAAGGACAATAGTAAGATTGATTTTGTGCAGAATACAAGACGTCTTATAATTACATTTGAAATACATACTTAGGAAAGTAAATTTAAGAAAAATCAGAGTCTAGTTTATGAACAAGTGACATTTCAAAGTAGTAATTGAATGATCTTTTCAAGAATGGTTTTAATTCGAATTCTAACATGACATCCTTGCTATGAAGTACAAAAACCTCCAGACAGCTGAGACTATACAATGAACGATGTTAGCTCTGTTCTTCATCATGACTTTTAACAGAATAATCGTGAGTTACAAGAATTGGATCCAAGATGGCTTCTAAGTTAACCTAGTGAAATGCTTGATAAATGAATTATATATATGCAACGACTGTCTACTTCAATATGAAATGTTTGCTATTTGTCCACATAAGTTGGATGCAAGTTAGCACAGCACAGCTAAATCAAATTGTAGCATTACAATGGAACTAATATTATCAAAAGAAATTCATTCATTAACATCTTATTGGAGTTCCTTTTGTTTACTACTTACTTTACTTCCATTTCTCATTCGATATTCATACCATTTGGAATTATCTTCACGTTGATATTTAATCATAAACATTGGAACAAATGCATTCTACAAATCAAAAGAAAAATACATCAAAGACATTGAAACAGTTTCGTCATAACTTGATACATTGATGATTCTCGGTCAATTTTATCAAACAGAATTTTATATGCAAGAAAAGCGATTGATTGGTTGATTGACTGATTAATCATCATGTATGTCTGATAACAATAGTCGATCACAAATTGTAAATTTTACGGTTAACCAATAACTTCTAGGAATTAGTCCTTCTTTTTTGTCAATTATGAATAAACTGACTGAGAATAAACGTGGGGATAAATAAGAGCTAAGATGAGATCATTGGATTTCATCAATAGGTGATCTTCATTATGAAAATAATGAATCATCGGTAGTCTAGTTTGGACAGCAGATCCTCATCAAGTTATGCAATATCTTTTTAGCTAAGCTGAGAATACCAATAAATATTGTCGTCAACAATTTAGGATGACAGTCTGATAGAGTATTATGTGAGTGTAGTCTAATAAAATTATAGAGATCTATGTAACCAATGAAATTATATAAGGCTAGAAAATTTACAAAGATTGTTTAACTGTTTGTTAGTGACTGATTTTGAGAGGTAACTCCTGGATTCTTAGTTAGTTGTGCAGTTTCAAACATGAAGAGTGTAAGACAGTTACACTCAGTAGAAAAGGATGATAATTGCACAAAATTGTGCATTGACTGATGTTAGAAATATCATGTATTAGACGACAACTCAAAGGTCTGAAGGTTATTCACTGGGTGGGAAACATAAAGGTCCTGGTTTCGACCGCTCGTTAAGTCGGGGATGCGCACTTCTGAGAAGTCCTGTACTAGGATTAAACAAATGTTCAATGTCTCCAGGTCTTCAATTTTATTTTTACGTGGAGTCAATTTATGATGTTAATTAGAAAATTCATTCAAAGTTAGTTATCCACAAGACATCAAGAATCAACTGACACTTTACACAATACGGATCAGACAGGATTAGTCATAAATTATCGAAATTTAATTAAATATGTTTAAACTTAAAAGAATTTTCACTGACTAGACGCTAGGTTGATGAACATAAATAATCGAAACTTTTAATGACTAAAAAGCAGATCTTGCAGATCATAAATCCATATGATTCGATGTGAAGTCTAGATATGTTAACTATGTTCAATTATTAAATTACAACTGAGGGAAAAAAACACAACAAACAACTATTTGTTAGTAGTTGTATAATGAAACAAGATAACCATCTCTACATCGTCGGATGCTTTGCAACTTCTGAAGTATTTACAGCTATTCATAGAAAAATAATAATAATAATAATACTAGTACAATTGATTTATTGTTTAACTCTAGAGAATCCACAATACAAAAAGCAAACACACGTGTGTATTGAATTTCAAAACTACATACATGTTTATGCTGGGATTAGAGTAGTTTAACACAATTAAACTACATATTATTTTATCATTATTATAACGATACACAGAATGGGAAAAATTAAATTAAACTAAAAAGAAGATAAACAAATTGTTGCCAGTCATGGTTTCGATTTTTTTTTTGAAGAAGAAGAAGTTCCGTCTACCTCTTTACAGTCATCATACAGTTGAAGAACAATATTCCAATGCAAGACAAAGTCGAGAAATTGAAAGACAAAAAAATTAAGTGGAAAAACATACCGGAAAGGAAAATATTCCCCACTTAATGTATCACACGTATATACTGTGTGAACATGTAGGAACATGTGTGGTATAAAAATAGTACAGTTGTTATTTCTTATCATCATCGTCATCATTGAGAAATTCATGTGTACACATAGATCATGTCAAAAATGTTTAAATATTCCGATGAAATAGGAAAAAGATAGACAAGATAGACAAAAGCAAGCGATAACAACTGATGAAGATTGGAACATTGAATAGGATAGTTTTTGTTTTGAAGAAATTTTAATAATAAATAAAGCATTTATTTATTAAATACAACTAACTAACAATTTACACATTGAAAATATATATGCATCTCTTGATTTGATTCTGTCTTCATAAATAATTACTTATTATCACAAATACTCGTGCAACTAAGCCTAAGTGATAGAGAAAATAAACACTGTAACAAAAAAGCTGTTTTCAACTGCTTATACAGGAATATAGTAACAATTGATTAATAACTATCCTACTGTAGTGAAGGAGAACACAGGTGAGGGCAACCGAATTGCATTTAACGAAAATTACAGAGTTACTCAGTAAAATAGGAAAACCATATCGTAACCGTTAATTTGCAAATCTTCAATCCATTGTCTGACATTTCACTATTCATGCGTTTCATACAAATTTCATTATGTTCCCACTCTTCCTTTCTTGATCTTCCCCCATGTTCTGCTGCCAGACATTACGTTTACACTCGCGTCATATACTACTTATAAGTAGCGCACACCACACTACTAACCAACTAAAATAAGCACGTTTTCTTGTACTTACCCACTTGTTTCGTTGAGCGGGTAGAAACAAATGTTATTCATACTAAAATTCACGTCAAACATATGAATGAAAGCAAATAGGGTTTTAAATAGCTCATCAATTACAATATAATTCAGTGTGATGGTTATAAATTTTGGCAGTAGAACTTTTTATTTTACTAATATATACATATATTACTTGTCAATTAGATAGACAATTCACATTCATTCATCCATTCATTCACACAACAGCATGAAAATTTATCAAAGCTCTAACTACTACTACTATCAGGCTACTTATTTATTTGCTAACTTGATATCTTGATTAAAGTTAGTTAATTAAGTTTAGAATAGTAACTTGTTTACTAAGTTGCAACATTAAGTTACTAGGCCAAAGGTTACACATACAATATAACATTGGTTGCATTCATTGTACACTGTTTACATGTTACATAACATAATATTTTTGAAATTAACTAAACATATTCCCGTTAATCATGTTCTAAGTAAGAATGATTAATTACATAAAATTTTAGTTCGGCAGTAGTACATGCATACTATACTTTTCCCTCGCTCTCTCTCTCTCTCGCGCGCGCGCCGAAGCAACACCGATAGTTGCCGAGGTCAACTGTCAGATAATAAAGGAATTCATTTGTTAAATATCCGACAGATAAGAAGAAAAAAGAATTTGCCATATAACAACAACATAATGACATGATAAAATGAAATTTGATTAGACTAGAAAATTATTTTTCAACACGGACATATCATCATCATCATCATCTACCGATACAATCATTACATGAATTAATTATTCAATAGTATGAAAATTGTTAGAAGTTGTTGATCAATAAAGATTTTTATTTTTCACAGTTATAAAACATGAAATCTATCAGTGAGTTTTGAAAATGAAGTAACCATGTTAGCTACTACCATTACCATTACTACTACTACTCCCATTGCTACTATATAGATTTGAAGGCACTAAACAAGCTTGATAAGCAATTGTCAGATCAGATCATCCTGAAGTGAATTGTTTACAAGAATTATGATTAATTGATGTAGTGTAAGTTTAATTACTAATGTTTAACTGAAATACAAAATCATAAACAAATGAAAAAGAAGATTTTTAAAAGACTATCAACATCATCATGTCTAACAGTCAGTCAGTCAGTCAGTTAGTAACAACGTAGAGCTTTGTACGTACGTACATAAGTTGAGGTTCCCATAGTAAACTTGTACATAGACGTGATTGTCAGTTCAAATCCCATAGTGGTAGCGATTGTAGGAGTATTAGCGGTGATGGAGAAGATTAGGGTTCGAAGATATTATTCAGGAAGTATGAGCCAATGAAATTAATTACGAAAGAGAAAGACAAAGGTTGTAGTGCCTCCACATAAACTTGAGTTCGCTCATATTTAATTTGATTGAGCCTTTTGATTAACTTATGTAACCAAGCTATTTGTATAGCAACAACTCACATGTACCATAGGTATTTTTTATTGTCTGGTTTGTATGAGCTTGTACGACTGAGCATTGCTTACGCCTACGCGCTGACTCATCCTTTCGCTTTAATGTTAATCTCTTGATTTCCCCATGAACTGACATGATTTGTATCGCTTGCTTTTGACCTTGCCAATCATTCGTCGCTTTTATTCATGTGTGTGCATACCTATTTCGCTTGTCATATGTCTGTCTTATTTTTGTCTATATATTCTTAGCCATGCTCTATTTCTTGGAGTTGGCTCTTAGCCTTCTCTAATGTACTTCGCCCATTCGTTCGCATTGTAATCCGAGGAGTTGGCTCTTTGCCTTCTCCAACGCGCTTCGCCTATTCATTCACTTCCTTCGTTTTATTCACTGCTTCTCCGCTTCGCTTTGTGGTATGTTCTGAATAAACGTATTAATCACTACGAATTCATCTTCTGATTTATAAATCGTCAGACGCTATTTAGTAACGACTGTCTGGACGAGTTAATTACCGAGCTTAAGAACACGCAGTAAATTATCACACCACAAGTTGATGAGCAATTCAGAAGATTAGAATTTGAGAGAACACGAAGATTGGATGCACCTGCTCCTTTGCAAACGGTTTTGAGCTATTTCGTTCATCTCTAACCATCAGTTATGTGTAACATATTATTCATTCTACGGAATTATGAGTAAATGCTTTTTTATTGTTTACTTTTGATTATCATTCACCTAAATGAATGAATACATGATTTGCAGAAAAACAAGTTACTAACCAATTAAATAGTTAATACATTCGTATTGATAATTTGAATGTTCTCATTGATCAGTCTCTTTATCGTCTATGCGAATTGCCTCAATACAGATACTAGGCTAGAAGCATTATAATCAGAAATAGATAGATAGCAGTTGAATCCAGCTAAATGTACTAGCATTAAGACAGCTCCTTATGGATCATTTTCATGTGACTCAACTCATTCATCATGCACAGATTCATGTATTCGAGACTTTTGACTATACATTGTTTATAGTGTGATAGCTGTCTAAACCAGATAAGATGAAACAGTATTCAAATTTATAACTTACAAACAAAAAGTCAAGTGTCTCTGAA